CGATTTGAGTGCAGCGCTGTGAAGAAGTTGGTGGTCTCCATGTAAGGCGGTGCCGTTTTTTGCGCGAGAAGGTCGTGCTTGACAGAAACATTTCGTAGTCAGCACAAAGTTGGAGTAGGCGTTCTCCGTTGTCAGTCTTGTTGTTTGGGATTGCCAGGTCACCTCTCTGATTCGTCCAGGGATCCCATTTGAGCATTGAATTTTCCAGCGACTATCACAATGTCCGAGTGTTTTGGAGCAGTAGAGAGAGGTCTCTGTAGAATTCATCCTTTGTTTCTGGTGAACTGCAATCTGTCGGTGCATACGACGAATAAGCATCGACGCTTCGTTCTGTATCTGTTTACGGGGTTGACTTGGGATACAAAACAGTGGATCAGGTAGGTGAGCTGACTGTGTTTGAACGCAAGGCCACCGAGGCTATATGATAGTGATCTATAGCATCGGCTTGTATTGTGTAAATTTTCTACACATGTCACGAGATATTAGAGGAAAACTAGTCGAACCCCTGCAATTCATGCGATGTCAGTATTTACTAGTGAGCATTTACAAAGAATGCGTCAGCCTTGTGCGGATGAGCTACCCGCTGCCTTGCGGGTCAAACTCTTGAGTCAAAGACTCCGGTTAGGGTTCCCATAGAAAACCCCTTCGTCGGTGTGGGCTACCGCGAAATATATCGTACCCTAAAGTCTTAGGCACCCATTTGGACAACCGTTTTTCCCATCTGTCTAGTTATTCTTCTTAACCCCGAATAATCCCCATTTGGAAAACGATCGTTCTCTTCTGACTGGTTTTTCCCAACTCCGATTAATCCCAGATGCCTCCTGTTTACGCCACCCATCAAATTTCCAATAAGCGTTTTACAAACAAGGCCAGACAATCAGAAGCTATAAGATTTTTAAAGCCAAAATCCCCTTTTCACTTGGCCGCGTTCAATATCCGCACGATTTATCAGATTGGCCAACAAGCTGCCCTGGCTAAAACTCTCGAAACTTTCAATGTAGATGTATGTTGTCTCCGAAACACGCATACAAAATCCTACTTAAAATGTCTCTCTATGTTCTCCTGATCCAACCTCAAACTCACACTTCACCCTTCGTGTGTCAGGCGATTCGGCATCCGAAGCTCGCGGAGTTGCAGGTGTCGGGATTGCGCTAAGTGCCAAGGCTGAGCGCTCGCTTCTCGACTGGATTCCAGTCAGTAGCCAACTATGCGCCGTCTCAGCGGTTCAGAGTCAACAGCTGCAGAACAATGCGTCGATGCTTATTCGTTGTATCGGCGAATGCACCGTCGGATTGCAGTACACCTGAAATCACGGATTTATTCTACAAGAATCTTTCTCAAATACTCCAGAGTGCTGGATCAACGGACGTCGTACTAGTCGCCGGAGACTTCAATGATCAATTGAGATCCCTGGACGAATCAGAAAGGCTTTTTGGCCGACCGTATGCGATCCCAGGCAACCGGACGGACAACGGAGATCGCCTATATCAACTCTGCGCGGACCACGGATCGCTCCTGTCAAACACGAGCTTGTCGCACAAGAAACGACATCGACTTTCATAGAAACCGCCATATTCTTCCCGGCGCTGGACCCAAATCGACCACATCATCATCGATTAACGTTGTAGGAGATCAATTGAAGACTACTGCTCCTACTGGTTAACACCTATGGATACAGACCACGCCTTGTTACGAGCCAAGTTCTCTTTATGCCTGGCAAACAACCGCAAAAAAGCCATCAAAAACGGATACCCACGATACAGCGATTTATGCAAATCGGCATTCGAAGCGGAGATCTCCGATCGCCTGTAGTTCACCCACCAGCCGAAGAACTTAATGAACACTGGAAGCTATGCAGATATCGATAGAAACAACGTTGGATCCTGCCTCAAGGTCAAAACACAAACGATGGACCATTTCGACCTCAGTTACCCTGCTGGACGCCCGCAGAACCCTTCCTCCTGATGCCACATATGCGCGCAAATCCCTCAAACGCTAGCTCATCAAGAGTCTGAAGAATGACCGCGAGAAGTGGTGGATAAGAAAGTGTTAGGAGAAGGCGAAGGGTGCGGCTAGTGGTAATAGTCGCAATCTTTTCCGTCTAATTAGGAATACGGGCCCTAGGAAAACAAGCGTAATTGAGGTAACTAAGGAATCCGATGGCACACTGATTCACGATCAGCAACGCCGTCTTCATCGATTTGCAGAACACTTTGGGCTCAGTTCAACTGGCCCCCATCGACATCTGACCTATCAACCTCCACCGCGACTGGGCGAATGCTGCCAATTGATGCTGGTGCTCCGTCTGAAGTGGAGGTTTACCGGGAAATAAGCTATCTCAATGTCATGAAGCCTCTGGTCCAGATGGGCTCTTCTCATCAGCGTTTATGGATGGAGGCTCATCGTCAGTCATCGAGTTGACAAAGCTCCTGGGTTCAACATGGGAAACGAAACAGGTTAGAACCGAATGGTGTGAATCGATGATCGTACCGATTCTTATGATAAAAATTTGACCTATTTAATGTGCGTAGACAGCTGATTGAGTGCACGCGAAATTGATGATGGAGGGTCGCGGGATAGTGCTCAGTAATACGTTTTGATAATCGCCTGGTCGTACGTCCGATGCGTCGCACACTACAAGTTCACGCGAAAAGATATAGAACGAAAGATTTGGACTGAAGAGGCGCTTTATCTTTAATTTGTTAGAACACCTAGGGCCGAGTGGTAGTGAGGATATGCGGTTGAGCTGCGGGGTATGTTCTAGAGATCGCTTTTGACAAACGTCCTTTAAGAAGTTCCAGGGCATCGTCGCCCTTAAACGGCACAGTAAGGAAAACGTTCTTGTGAGGAACGGTGGGGATTTTGCTCGGGTTGGTCTTCAACTTTATATGTTTATGAATAAAAGGTTCCGGATAACCATTTGACTGAAGTATGTCATGAATAAAACGTATCTCGGACTGCAGTGTATCCTCGCTGCAAATCGCACGGGCTCGGTATGGTAAACATCTGGCCAGGTTGCGTTTATATTTCAGGGGGACAAAGATACAAAAATGCGTGTACTGTCCAACCCACGTTGTTTTGCGGAAGACGCTTCTTCGAATGACACCGTCGTCTCTCTTCTTTAATGACACATCTAAGAAGGGTAGCTGTCCGCTCTTCTCTAGTTCGCATGTGAAACGAATAGCTGGATGACACTTGTTGAATTCGTCGAGAAGTGTGTGGCTGATGTGAGAATCACAAACGATAAAAGTATTGTCGAGGTATCAGCAATAAATGTCGAATTGTCTCTCTCAAATTTTCGTTCTCCATTTTGGCTAGAAAAATATCTGCCAATATGGGACTTAGTGGAGACCTCGTCGATTTGTCTGTAGAACCGGTCATTGTACCGTATGTAAAAGGTACATCTGAGAATCAACTCTTTCAATTTGTTCACCGGGATTCCGACGTGGATGTTGATAGAAACTAAGAAGTCACAAATATGATCAACTGTCTCTACCAGGAGTATGTTTGTAAACAAGGATTCCACATCGAAGGACATCATAGTTTTGTTGAGAACATTGAGGTTTTCTATCTTCTCTATAAAGCTAAACGTATCGTTCAGGCTATGATTGGCAATCTTTCGGCGTGCTAATTCTAGTAGTTCTACGATCCATTGTGCGATGGCTTGATATGACGAATTTGACATCTCAATTATGGGTGGTATCGGAACGTTTGGTTTATGCACCTTCGGTAATCCATAGAGCCGCGGCGGCGAGAATCCAGTCGGAACCAGCTTTTCGAAAACTGCGTGTGATATGTGATCTTCTAGCTTTAGTTCTTTCAAGATGGACGTTAACATAGATTCCGTTTGCTCTATCATGTTTTTCTCATGTGTTCTAGCGGAAAATTTTGTGGAGTCGCCTAGGATATTCTCTAGTTTAGAGTGGTAATCAGTTTTATCGATTAACATACAACCGGCCCGTTTATCCGGTCGAGACATTGTGATATCCTTGTTGGAAGTGGGACGTTTCATGGCGTCTATATGTTTCTTTGTCAAAATAGCTCTTGTGTGTTCTGATACTGGTGGCAATAGTGTACCAGAGATGTTTTGAGTGGATCAACTAGATGAGCATGGCTAGGTGTTAAATCGCTGAGTTGATGCACGAGGCTTTCAAATTTTGTCTCTATCTCCATCTGGTGAAATTTCAGTTCAAATGCACAAAATTTAGAACCAAGGGACAAAACCCCAAACTGAAGTTTATAGAGTAGGACAGACGAATAGCTGTGTACGTGCCTTTCCGGGTCATTCGGGAACTTCGACTGGGGACTGCTGGCTTGGAGGCTGTTTATGAGTTTGGCGTATTTACGTTCAGTAGCTTTGATGTTTATAACTATTACGTGCTGCTGGAAGAGAGGCTTGTATTCCCCCGGGAGTTGGTTGGCGGATAAAGAGTACTGGGTCGACAAGCGGTCCATTTCGATCATCTCCTTCCGATCAACATCCATCAGGTTCAGTGCATGTCGTTTCAGAGTTCTGGATATCGGTTGAATATGACACTGTCGCAGATACTTCCAATAGGTTTTTGGATAACGGTTCTGATCGATACATTTACTGATAAACCGCACAACTGTCTCCGCTTCAGCAGACCCGGCTTTGAATTTCAACAACTTGTGCAAGTCACAGCTACAGGGTGTTCGCAGTGTTTCAAATCGTAAAATGGTCCCATAGACAATGTAGAAAACGGTATTCGCGAAGAACTTTCTTTTTGATATATCGCATGAGGCGTTCCCATTTATAAGGTGATCATAATACAGATGTCTGATAGGCCGATTGGACCTCGGTTAGTAACGATGACATGGGACTATTTTACGAATTGAAACACAGCGACCTATATGCGAACGCGAAAGTGACGCACTGTGCATCGCTCGTTAAAACCGATTTATAAGTGGTGTAGTATAATCTTTAAAAATAGACTACTCCTTATTTTAGATATTGTGCGGATGCCTTAGGTAAAGTTACAATTTGCAATTGATAACTACAGTCAAGCTTCTGCTGTGTCGCACCCTTGAGAAGTCGCGTTTTTCAATATCTTCCCACATTTTCGAAAACCCAAACCAATCGTATGCTTAATAACGTAGTTTCTGACTATGCGATGTCACACCCCTCAATATGTCGCAGTTCCTGGTACGTACTCACTTGGTCGTTGACCGATGTTCGGGACGACCACTAACAATCCACCCTGACATGTCGCACTCAACCAGTGGTGTTGTACCTAGTGTGACGCGTTCATGGCACTGTTCACTAATTGGATAATCTTTGCGAGGAAGTCACACCGATGTAAGGGATCGAAGACAGTGTCAGTTGATTTCAAAATGTGCAAGCGCCTGACGATCAGAGAGAAGCAAAATGTGCTGCAAATGCAGAACCAGCCAGGTGCAACTCAGAGCTCCGTAGCCAAATCACTTGGAATTTCAGGAAAAACTGTCTACAATGCTGTATCCCATCGAACGACTATCGGGGAATTTTTGAACGCTGGAACATCTGAGGGAAGATGCCACCTGAAAACCGGCGAAAAAATCAAGGCAGTGAATGAGGCAACTTTGACTTGGTCTACTGCTGTGGGAAAAGTACGGAAAGAGAAAGCATCGTACGTAACCAGACAATCCACAAAGATTCTATCATAATGACATCAAGGCTTGCAAAGGTTGGTTTCGCTCTTTGTCAAACAGATATGGTATTCAATCGTACAAAGTAAGAAACCAACAGCTCATGCACATTACTTTGTAGGTCTGTGGGGAAAATTTAGCGGCACCACGCGCTGCAGTGAGCAAGTTTCGAGCGAGGTTACCGCAGTTGATACATGGAGATACTGACTGATATTTTCAATGTAGATGAAATAGCTTTGTATTACAGGCAGCTCCCAAAAAGAAGGTTAAGTTTGAGAGGAAAGACAGTTTCTGGGTTCAAGAAATCCAAAGAGATGGTCACGTTGCTGCTTTGTGGGAGCATGACTGGAGAAAAGCTATCACCGTTGGTGATTGGAAAGTTTCGAACTCCACGATGCCTCCGAGATATAGATAGAAACGCCTTTCATGCAGCTATAATCCTTCATAGAACGCATAGATGACTTCTATGTTATTTCACAGTTGGCTGTCCAATGTCACCCGCAAAATGTTTTCTCAAAGGCGCTCTATTTTACTATTTATGGGCAACGCTCTTGCCATAACCAAGCCGCAGTATTCTCCAACGTCAACGTACGGCTGCCTGCGAACTGTTCTTCAATGTTACAACCAATGGATCAGAGCGTGATTTGGTCTTTCAAATGTTCGTTTCGGAAACATTTACTGGAATATTGTGATGATCGTAGTAGTTGTAGTAGTAACACAAACCACGCAATAGGAATCTCAGGACACGAATCAAGGATCAGTTATCCCGGACTGGATTACGGAAGCACTAAACCGCAATGGCAAGAGCTCGCAATATCCCACGTGAACTAGACGCGAGGAAAAGGTCACAAGATTGGTAGTTCGTTTATTGGTAGAATTGGAGGCGACGAAATAATATGTACAAGACAAGATCATTGGTTATCTAGGCTTCCACCAATCGCATTACAGTATTGTCTGAGTAATTCTGTTTCTGTCTGCACGGTCTCAGATTGGGTGGTACAACCTGCCTATGGCGTGTAATCAGAAGATGTACGCGTGTCATTGACGTCACCTTTCAAATTTGATTGATCGCATGTGTCCGGAAACTGTGACGCGCCGCTCCAGGGTAGGCGTCATCTCGTAGGCCTGGATCATCACAAATATGTTTTGTCTTTAATCGAAGATAAGCAACTTACCATGAAAGCCGAGGTGTACATATTCATGATCATGCATCTGACTAAGAAAGCTTGGGTGTCTGTGCACCCGTACGTACTGATCAACGCTTTCATGAAAGCTGGGTTTGAATCCACATTGATGCAGCAACCAGAGGATAAATGCGACTTAATCGAGAACTTTACTCAATATGTGTCTATTGTTGACCGTGTTTTTGAAGAAGAAATTGCCTGTTTGGAATTTTATGACGGTGAAGTACGTTATTTAAAATTTTTGTATCAAGTCTCTTTTTTAGTCATTAGATGAATTCGTTTCGAATCAAGCTAAGCATCGCAAAGAAGATGAATGTGAGGCAGTGAATGCGCCGGAAGTTATTTCAATCAGAGAGGCGCATATCTTATTGGACCAATTGAAGCTGTTTGCCTTGGCTAATGCTCAGAGTTCGGGTAGATTATTGGAGAGTACAATTGATTTGAACAGCGCGTTTTTTGATTTCCAAAGGAGAACCAGACTGAGACAAACGAAGATTTATGAGTTTGCTAAAAATACATCTTTGTAGTCTGCAAAGTGTTTTTCGTAATTCTGTGGGGCACTGAACTGAACTGTAGGGCACTCGAACGTGGTCTGTTTTGCTGCAGTGGTCACCAAAGCCAGGTTCATTCGGTTCACCGATGGGCTCTGTCGCACTAACGTGCAAACGGGTGAACGATCATCGCGATTGACTGGTAAGTAGGTGAGTGGAGTGAGATGTCAGCTTCAAGAGATCGATAGACACCGTCGCGCAGACGTGCCTGTGTGAATGAACGATACTCTCATTTTTCCTAGAGCACCGATGAAATTAGACAAATCGCTTGCCAAAGGTCATCGTAACCCGGGTCTAAGGTTAGTTTGTGAGATGCACTTTAAATTGCTTGAGAGTTGCCCTAATTCCAGTAGGCTGGCCTTCGGTTGGCTGAACAGGAGTGAATTTCTTCATTCCCGTCTCACGCCTGCCGGAAAATTTGCGGGAGAACCCGCTTAAAATACAGTGCGATTGCTTCATCGTTTTCGATCGTCTCGTCCCTCTCACCCGTGACCTTAAACAAGTTAATTCCATCTGACCCTTTCTGTGATCTGATTGGATCATATTCCGCGATCTGCGGCGCTTGTAATCCCTCACCCTAACACGAGACTGTTTGATTACCGGTTTGTACGTTTTCTAATGCTCTTGTTGTTACGTCCAGTCCATCCGAGTGCT